CAAAAATACAAGTCAAGCTCGTTAATCTTTTAATTAACAAATTATGGCACTACATGAAAATTACAACTGCATCTTTCTTGCTTTCACTGATGCAAATTGGTCTATGATTTGCTCAAAGTCAGTTTTTTTCAGTTTCTTCTCTTTATACACTCAGCAGAGCAAGATCACAGAGTCTGCCTTGATCCATGGAGGCTCTCAAATACGAAAGTATTAGTTTTAACTTGCTGAATGATCTCTCACAACTGGCGATGGAAACTGCGATGATTAGCATTATCTGAATAGCAATGCGAAGATTGGGGAAGACGCTCTCATCTCCATACTGAACAATAAATTCGAGAAGCTCTTCAGGTCTTGATATTTTCATGTTGGCCCGACTTGATAGCAACATTCTGCAATCCAAAATTTCTTCATATAGCTGCTGTCCATCATCATCAGAGCTGTACAATTCACTCAAATTTTCGCACTTCTTCTTCAGGTCGTTACTGTCGGCGCCGTAACACAGCCCCTCGACATCGAGAAGGAACCTGAACTTGGTGTCAGTGTCGTGCAAACGAGCGAACCTTTCGTCCATTTCTCTGTGAAGATGGTTGAGTGTTCCCTTCATGACTCTTTCCATTTCCTCCTTGGCTGTTAACCCAGCGTCTCTCGAGTTCTCAACAGCCATTCGTTTCTTTCGTCTCTGACGTCTTTTAACTCAGTATTCCATTATTGACAGAGACTGAGTCCTTCTTCAAGTGACTCACTGACCAACACTTCTCTTTCATCATCAAAATGATATCAGAGGGCTTTGAAATCCAGGGCAGCATCGTGGAAGTTCATGTTAGGATCCTGCAGCCTCTTTTGAATACGGTCAATGCGAATGAGTACTTTGTTCCAAAATCCTAACAAAGTCAGAAAAGTGTAACTCAACATACGGTTATACAGCTGCCTTGCGTCACTTCTTGTTTCACTGGTCTCGTTTTCATTGTCTATCATGTCCTGTAGAACTTGAAGTATCTCCTCAAGGTACTTGCTGAGTGGCTTCACTGCTTCTGTCCTTGCACTCCACCTTAACAACCTTGCAACTTAACAACCACAAGCACGCCGTTTTTGAGTTTTCCCAGCGCTGTGTTGAATAAGAGAAGAACATGTATAGATCCTTGATGATTCCAAAAAACGTGACCATCATTGTATCCTGCTTGGCTGCATGTACACCCACCAAGTTGAGTGTTTGTTGCAATTCACAAACACTGCCAGGTTGTTTTTCTCACTTATTCTTTGATGAACACCACTTCTGTGTCCAATCATCACATCAGCGTTGTCATAGCACTGTGACCGACAATCGTGTAGCTCCATTTCGTCCTTCTCTAGCTGTTTCAAGATGTCTTCAACCAAGCTCTCAGCATCCTTCTGTCTTATCTGGATAAAACCAAGGAAGGACTTTTTAACACGGACTGTTTTCCTCTCAAAATCAGCTACCACGTACCTCACTACTTTTGACATCTGCTCACGGTGTGCCTGATCAGGAGTCGAGTCGAACATGAGATCATAATACTTGGCTTTACGAATGCTTCTCGGTAAACTCTGGTGAACAGTGGATGCCATCATGTGAATGAATTCGTTCTGGACACCCGGTGAAAGATAAGACGTGGATCCAGGATGACTTTTCACACGAGTGAGGTGTTCTTTCATGACAGGGTCAAAGGTGGCCAGTAGTTTCAGTAAGCCAAGGAAATTTCCCACATTGGAGTCATCGTCTAGCTGAAGTGACTACCTGTGTCCTCGCAAAGCCAGGTTCTGAGTTTCAAGTATTTTATGCAGTGAAGGATTCTCGTCAAGACATCACGCCATTTCTGCTTTCCTTCTCAATCTGTGACTGAAGTTCCACGTCAATCAATCCTTTGTTTACAGCTAAGTTTCGTTCCATTTCTTTCCACTGTGTGAAGCACTCCCAATGATTCTTAGCATTTTCATGAACACTAATCCTTTCATGTGCTTCCCACTGGTTGAATCCACTTTCCTGCTCCAATGAGGGTTGATGGTCTGACTGGGAATAGAGAAGAAAACAGATATAAAATGCAGACTTTTTAGAAGGGGAATAGACCAGCCATGAGTGAGTCACTTCTTCACCATGACCATTTCCCAATTTCCTCTTGAACCAAGTTTTGTTCATTGAGTGGTTATTTGTTGGTAAGAAAGGCCCCTCACTGTTCTGGAAATACTTTGAACCCAGCTTTATTATTTCTATTCTCAACGTGTCAGGCAGAATTGCTTTTCCAGCATTCGTGTCCAACTTCAGAAGTCCAATGTCATGCTGTTCAATCACTTCTGGAATGACAGTTCGAGGTTCTTCGACACCATACAGTTCACTAGGTTCACTGTCGTCAAATAAAATTTCGTCAATAAACTCAATATCACCACCACCACCACCATCGTCTTCCCCTCCTGACATGTCCACGCTCTCTTTGACAGCCTTACTCTTAACCTCGTTATACTCGGATTTATATGACTTGACTTTCTCGTCAGTTGGTGACGCATTTGTACTTGATCCACCTTTGGATTCTAACAAATTTGTAGCTGGTGCAGGTGATTCCATGGAACGTGTCAAACTACTTATTCCTGGCTTTTCAAAGATGTGCATGAAGAACTTGCTCGACTTCTTGGCTTCCTCTGCCTCCAACTTTCGTGTCTTCCATCCTTCAGCTTCACTTTTCTTCTTCTTCGTGAAGAAACGTTTCATGGTTTTCTTACCCAATGCTCTGAAATAAGGAAATGACACTTTTAATAAGAACATTAAATTTCATAGATTTTGCACAAAATTCTGGACTACCTCCCTAAGTTGCGCAGGAGAATGATCTTACTGCCAGTTGGCACTGTACTATGAGGTATGTAGCAATGTTGCTCCCAGCATTGTATTTTTGCCTAATAATTTATATAAGTGGTTTAGCATTCCAGCCATCCTAGTGCTTTTCACCTATGATAATCAAAGACAGATCATACATCTGAAGAAAATTCTTTTTTCAGTATTCGAGGATGTCTTGTCAGACTTTAATAGAAACTGCTCAGTGGCGCCCAGGGTACTTGCCATACCTTAGGTACGCCACTGATTGGCAAATAAATGGCAGTTTGGTTTTCATTATAACAAATGCAAGCAAATACGTGTGGGTTATCATAATCTGAATTATAAGTATAATTTGGACGTGAATCACCAAATAATAATAATAATAACAGTGTTATAAAAGAAATGGATCTTGGCGTAGTGGTTGATCAGTTTCATATTCTTAACTTAAGTCGCGTGGTGTTGCTACTACTTGTAGAATGATGCCTGGGATGTAGGCAGTGGTGGGATTCAAATATTTTAACAACAGGTTCTCTCACTAGATATTAAAAAAAAGGAGGGGCCAGAAAGCCCCCCCCCCACCCTATCCTACGTAGGAAAATAAAAAATTAAAAGGTCCGGGTCCCGTACCGGAAGGTAATTTGGTTAAGTTAAACGTTAAACCTTTACT